GCCGACGAGGAAGCAATGAACATCGTGGGCATTATTGAGAATGTGGTTGTAAAGGTTGGACAAGTACACGTCCTTGTTAACGCACTAGTAATAGATGTGCGTTCCTATTCTATGTTGTTAGGACTATCTTGGGCGATGGCAGTAGGGGCCCGTCTGCATTTCGATTCAAAACAACTGGTGCTCACGCAAACAGGGGGAAAGCCTCAAACTGTTCCCTTGCGAATTTCCACCCGAACGATAAAACGAACTCCTAACTAATCCCAAATAGAGATGATTCGATGCATTGATCCCGAGGAGTATTCTTCCTCGGACATCGGTAGCGGAATTGGGGAACAGAAACACGAAGAAGAACTACCTAGTGAGGATGAATGGAAGCACCCGGTCGAACTTTTCGAACACGAAATTCCCGAAGAATTTCGAGTGTGCCCAGACCGTCTGTAGATTCAGGAGACAGCGCGCTTGCGCCTCCGAAAACCCAGGTCAGTCCTTCAGTCCTCCTCGGGGAACCCCTATTACAAGTATTTGACCTGGCCGATGATTTGGAACCCCCTTGTACCTTGGACGAGGGAGCACTTTCCTTACGAACGCGTTATCAACAAGCGGAACAGTATCTAGACGTTTCTGTTTTTCCCCCCAGATCGTTACTAACGACGACGGCGACCATCGCTTTGATTAAACAGGAAGCGAAAGCGTTGGTAGATGACGTGCCTGATCTAATGCAGGAGATGACGGACCTAACAGGACTGACTGTGGAACAGACTTCGACCGACTCAGAAACCGACGCCTAAAGTAACGAAACCGAAAGGATCAGCCCCGCTGAATTACAGATGATTGCGACTGTCTTCTCTGTTCGCACCAGTAGTTCCGTCTTTTCGAGTGTCTACGATCAACACGAGCGGCCGGTTGATTGGATCGACATACCCCTTCAGATTTATGGGGAATCGACAATCGCCCTGCCGAACAACGTCCCCACGCAATTCCGGAAATCATTAATCTATGTTTTGAATGGCTACGCGGAGGTATTAAGTGTACATGATAACGATATTGGCTTGACTAATGTGATCGAGTATGCCATTCTCACGGGAGATCATCCGCCCATTAGCTGCGCTCCTCACCGATACTCGCCAGCTCAAAGAGTGACCGCTTTTCAGGGGATCAAAGAATTCGAAGCTAATGGATGGATCGAACCCACAATAGGTGCATGGTCTTTTCCCGTAGTAATTGTGCCCAAAGAGGCCGGAGGGATTCGCATTTGCATTGATTACCGGAAGTTGAATGATATCACGGTCAAAGATGTGTACCCCTTCCCCTGGATTGATGAGTTGTTGGATGCGATTGGGAGTGCTCGATTTTTAAGTTTGATGTTCGCCATGGGTTCCATCACCTTCTTGTCCGAGAAGAAGATCGTCCGAAAACGGCATCTGTGCTTTTCGAAGGTGCGTGGCAGTGAATTCGATGTCCGATGGGTATCTGCAACGCCCCTGCGACCTTTCAGCGAGCCATGAATATGGCTTTTCAAAATTTCGTGCGGAAGACACGTTTGGCACAGAGCATCATCAACTACTGCGTGATTGTGTACATGGATGACATTCGGGTGTACTCGAGTTCCTACGAGGGACACGTACAGCACATCGAATGGGCGTTGCATGCATTATGAGAAGCAGGCTTCAAGGTGGCGTTTGAGAAGTGTCAGTTTTTCCTTACCACCATTTCTTTCCTGGGACACGTGGTAACAGACCAGGGACTCCAACCTGAGTCGCAGAAGGTGGCAACTGTCAGGGATGCGCCGTTGCCTACGACTATCACGCAAGTTCACGCCTTTTTGGGCCTGGCCTTGTACTACCGAAGATTTATCAAGGGCTTCGCGGCGATTGCGGAGCCCCTCACAAATCTGCTGCGCAAAGATCAACCGTTGATCTGGACGTCGGAGTGTGATCAAGCGTTTTCGAAACTCAAGGCCGCTCTCATTTCGGCTCCTGTCCTTATAAGGCCGGATCCTGAAAAACCTTTTGTTCTCATTACTGACTGGCAGCCAGAGGCAATTTCGACGATCCTTGCCCAGGTGGGAACAAGTGGACTCGAGAGCGTGGTGGAGTATTCGTCCAAATCGGTGTCCGCCTGCAAGCGCAACTACGCCGCTCCAACGGGAGAATGCTACGCGGCTCTCTGGGGAATCAGTCACTTTCACGCTTACCTGTACGGGCGGAAGTTCACCTTGGTAACCGATTATGAGCCCCTGTTGGCTCTGAAGAAATCGAAGGATTACTCTGGCATGATCGGGCGATGGGCAACGGTGCTGCAGAGCATGGACTTCGACATTCGTCATCGGAAGCACGAGAGACACGGGAACGCGGACGGACGAATACGACTGCACCGGCCTGAGAAAGTTCCGAAGAGAGAGGAGGTGATTCCGTGGAACGAACCCGAACAGGAGATTGGACCTCGGTACGACCAAGTGGAGATCTTGTCGAAGCAGTAAGTGACACGAGGACCAACTTGTTTGTTCTACCCTCTCCGCAATACAGTCCCATCTCTCCTCCTCTGACATCATGACTACCCCACCTGTCTCTGCAACCCCTTCTTCTCCTACTAATTCTGCCCCTCTTACTTCCTCAACTTTCTTTGCCACCCTCCCCGATAAGTTCTGCTATTTTTGTACGTGTATTGCACGGGTTTATGGGGTCTACTGTCATCCTTTCGAAACCGGGTTTGTCGATTGGGTAGAATGTGCCACGTGTGTCAATCGTGCGCACGGGGCCTGCGTTCGATATAGGACGAGTAGCGAGGAATGGAGGTGCCCCCTATGTAGAACGAACAAACTCCCCACGGAGGTTCGACTCGAGGCCGCCCGTACGGACGACCCTGAATACGACAAAAAATACCGACGAGCGGAGGTTTGGATGGATAAAATTTTATTGGCGAAATTAGCAGGATTATCATTGGGTCACCTCACCAAACACGACAGACGTAGGGCAAACGAGAGATCTCGGGACTATCGGTGGATCAACGGTCATTTGGAGAAGCGTAAAACTGACGGATCAGGTTCGTGGTTGACGGTTCCCCATCCATTCCAGAGATATGATTGGATCCGATCGGCTCACGAAGAACAAGCCGCTCATTTCGCGATACGTGTTACGGAGGCAACTATAGACCAGAACCGATGGTTCTGGTCCAACATACGAGATGATGTCAGATACATTGTTGCCAACTGTCTGGTCTGTGCCGCTGATCGCGCCCCAATACGGGGACCAACCACGATAGTACCAACGGAAGTAAAGCGCCCCTTTCAGCGAGTCAGTATGAACACAACAGATATCGACGTGCCACCTGGCCCAAACCGCAGTGAATATTCTATCCTATTAGTATTAATAGACAAATTTTCTAAGTACACCGAGGTCTATCCGTGTAAGACCTGAAAGGCCGCAGAAATAGCCACTTACATCGAACGGCCCCTCTATACCCATCTAGATACGGAAGAAATTCTAACCGACAATGCATCCGAATTTAAGGGCGAAGTAGAGGAACTGCTCGCACGAAGGGGCATCACGCTCCGACATACGGCACCCCACGTGTCCCAATCGAACGGGTTGGCTGAGAATGCCAACCGTATGATTAAAACCGCCCTTCGCAGGAATTTAGCGGCACACGACACGCGTCCGTGGCCCGAGATCGTATATCAGATCGTCGGGATCCACCGGGCCACCCCTCACGAGTCCACGGGGTTTACCCCTTTTCAGCTTCGTACTAATAGCCTCCCCTGTATCGACTACCGGGGTAACTCGAAAATTGCCGAAGCAGGGGGTAGAGACACGCGTGCAG